TTATACCATTCTTTGATCATTTATCTCATTCAGGCTCATAATTTTCAACTCATCCACTTCATTCTTTACTATACATGACCTCATTTAGTTTTTCTGTATCTGCTGATGAGGAATTAGAAAGGCCCAGAAAAGAACATCAAACAGAGTACTGAATTTGGGTCATCCTCCTCAAAGTGTCCCAAGACAGTCTGCCTTAGCTCATCAGCTAAAGTTCACTTGAAATGCTTCCCTCTCCCTAGAAAGGGAGAGATAAGAAGCCTAATAACTTTGGTCACACCAACTGATATAGCCAGAAAGACTGAAAATGTTTCAAGCGTATAGCCTTACAACTTCATCAACACTTGCACGCCCAAAAGCTTCTCTCTCTATCTCTATCTCCATTTCTCTCTCTTTCCTTTTGGAATTGTCTCAGAAAAGTGTTTTTCTGAGACAAGTGAGCTGTTTCAGCTGTTCTATGCAGTAGTACTGCATAGATATTAGCCATTTCATCAGAACACTTGAATCTGTTTAATATGCTGAGCCTATTCACCTCTAAACTAACAAAATGCTCAAAAATTTTAATGAACCAAGGCCAGGGTACTCAGTAGCTTTTTTTTTTTTTTTTTTTTTTTTTTTTTCCTAAGTTAAGGAAGGCAAAACAGCTTTCCTGAAGTTAGTTTGTTTTTTCATCCACAGCAATTTTTCGTTTGCTTTGTAGGTGTTCAGTTTTTAATTAACACAGGATATCATACTATTCATCTAAACCAGTTTTTGTGACTTATTTTTTCTCTGTATCCAACAGGCAGAAAATTTATAGCCCCTGCTTTTGTCTATATTTTCATCTAAAGTCACTAGGGAAAGACTGTTCCAACAGAACAATCATTCGATTTCTTAACCTTGTCTATGGTGAAAAGGAGTAAGAAGATCTTTTCATATTTTGATTTACAAACTGATCTTGGACCAGAACACTGAAAATCTCAAACCAACATAAAGCCTAAGCATTATTCTTTACAAATTAAGCCAACCATCCTTTCCCTCAGGAAAGTGGGGAAATTGATCTAAATGATAAGCTCTCTCCTCCCCCTCATCTGTGCATTGTTAAAGTCAGAATTTCAGTTCTGCCTACAAACTTAGCCGCTTAACTGATCACTGAACAYGTGGTACTACATCTAGAAATAAATTTGCAAAGTGCATTTTATTTAACATATCTCATAATGAATCCCTGAGCTTTCCCAAAACTTATGTCATCACACGTGATCTGGATATTAGGCTGGCACAAAGAGTGAAGAATAACCAATGCTAGAAGGCAGAGAAGGCAGAGAAGGCAGAGAAGGCAGAGAAGGCAGAGAAGGCAGAGAAGAAGGAAAACCTGCTAGTTGCAATAAAATTAGTATTTCCAGAAAATTAGGGAGCACTGTCACTGAATGCATAATTCCTTCCTGCGTCCACATACATCTGTAGGGAGTTATTACAATGTTATAATAGATTGGCTTTCCATGCAAGGTTATAAAACCGTGGTTCATTAGGCTCCTGACACCATAAACCTGCACCTTTTCCCCAGAGCAGATTTATATCCAGCTATCAGAACACCTTGCTCCATTAAAATCGATTGCGATTGTTTTTCCTTGCAATTTGTGTTTAAAAAAAAAAAAAACAGAAACAAAAACAAAAACAAACAAGAAAACACTTGAAAGCAAGTGAAGCTTCAGTAAGTATTCAAATAAATAGCTCCGATTATTTGTTTGTTTGTTTTTGCTGTAGTTCTGGTTTCTTCCAAGAAGTTCACTACTCGCTATGCATATATATGTGTATGTGTGTGTGTGTGYAATTGTCAACGCCATGGGGTTGCCATGGGGTGCATGTATGGGGTGCAAATATGGGTTGCAACGCCACATACCSTGCCCTTCAACACCAACGCCTGCGRCTGGCGCCCGCCTGTCGTGTGCAGCAGGGCACCCCCAGGAGCCCCGCTCGCTGACAGCCCCACACACCAGCCCCCACAGCGGGGCCAGGGCCGCGGGCGCGGGCCACGCGTCGCTGCGGGCAGGAACGCGCCCCAACGGCGGCACGGGCGCCCCAACGGCGGCACGGGCGCCCCGGCGCCGGGAGCGCGGCAGCCCCTCTCCGCCTAGGGACGCTCCTCGTGTC